TAAGGATCGTCACCATCCAAAAGACAAACAACAACAAATGTTGGCGAGGTTATGGAGAAAGGGGAACCCTCCTACACTGTTGGTAGGAATGTAAATTAGTTTAACCATTGTGGAAAGCAGTATGGAGGTTCCTCAAAATGCCTAAAATAGAAATACCATTTGACCCTGGAATTCCACTTCTAGGAATTTACCCTAAGAATGCAGCAGCCTGGTTTGAAAAAGACAGATGCACCCCTACGTTTATCGCAGCACTATTTACAATAGCCAAGAAATGGATGCAACCTAAGTGTCAATCAGCAGATGAATGGATAGAGATGTGGTACATATACACAACGGAATATTATTCAGCCATAAGAAGAAAACAAATCTTACCATTTGCAACAACATGGATGGAGCTAGAGGGTATTATGCTCAGTGAAATAAGCCAGGTGGAGAAAGACAAGTACAAAATGATTTCACTCATTTGTGGAGTATAAGAACAAAGAAAAACTGAAGGAACAAAACAGCAGCAGAATCACAGAACCGAAGAATGAACTAACAGTTACCAAAGGGAAAGGGACTGGGGAGGATGGCTGGGAAGGGAGGGATAAGGGTGGGAAAAAGAAAGGGGGCATTACAATTCGCATGTATAATGGGGGGGTGGGGTACGGGGTGAGCTCTGCAATACAGAGAAGACAAATAGTGACTTTATAGCATCTTACTACGCTGATGGACAGTGACTGTAATGGGGTATGTTGGGGGGGACTTGGTGAAGGGGGGAGCCTAGTAAACATAATGTTCTTCATGTAATTGTAGATTAATGATACCAAAAACAATAAAGGCATTGTAAAAAAAAATAACACAGAAAGAAAAAATACTATTCTGTTAATAATTGAAGATCCTCACTGTTGATACCCATAAGAAATGATAATAAAAAGAAAAATAGGTATAATTTATTTTTTAAAAATTTCACCCAGAGCCTGTGTTATGAAACTCAATCTACCTTTCTCATTTACTCTCCATATGAAATCCGTCACCAAATTCCACCTCAGATGCATCTCTTGACTCCCCCCTTGGAAGTCTTATAAATGATTTATTTCTAATTCCTGCTACCACTACCTACCTTCCAATCCTCCTTTTCTTCTACCTACATCACTACTAATCCTTCTAGTTAATTGATTTTGCTGGTACCTCTCTCTCCCCAACTCCAATTCGTTCAAATGCTATTGCCAGAAATATGCATTTTGTTGGTACTCTGCTTAGAAATCCGTAATGTCTTTATGACAGGAATCCCGGCTCCTTAACGTGGCATGCAAAGGTTTTCTTTCACAAGTAAGTACAGCTTCATCCCCATTCACCTCTCAGCACTGCACCCAGGCACTAGGGGGCTGCTTCCCAACTTCCTTTACAATTCCTTCTTGTTACACTCTTCTCCTAGATGATTTGAATGTTTTAAAAAACTACCTTGTTTGCCCTGACAGCAAAGTTCTCATACTCTCAGAAGTCTCTGAGATACACCCTTCTTAAAGCTCAACCCTTTCCTCTGTACTCTATGCGTGGGTTTCAAAGCCCAAACTGAAACTATCGGTGCTACATGGCAAACATTGTCTGTAGCTGCCCTCACCAAGGTAGGAGAGGAAGGCGAGCTAGCTGCAAGCTGCTGTCAAAATGGTACTCTGAACCAAAGGCCTGGGGATGGCTGCCAATCTGCTGTGTGATCCCCAACAAGCTACAGTCTCCCTGATCCTCAATTTCTTCACTTGGAGAACGAGGAGATGGTATCCACAGATGTATTATCTAAGATATGCATCAACTTGAAAATACTAAGAAATATCCATTATTTTGGGTGTGAGGTAAGCTGGATAAGAAAACTTAAGAGTCTGTGTCAGTTTAAAAAACAGTATTTTTCTTAAATAAAATAAATATGACTCATAATATTACCACCCAGATAATCTCTACTGAAATTCTAGTAATTAGGTCAATCAATATTTTTTGAGTGCCTTCTGTGCACCAGGCATAATTTTAGCATCGGGGAATATAATGCCAAGTAAGAGAGACAAAATCCTTGCTCTCAGAAAGGGAATATTCTAGTCATGAAACAGAAATAGACTATAAACAAGTATGCAAATACATGAGCAAGATGATTTCTGGCAGTGAATAAGAACATAAAGAGGTGGTATTTTAGATCATGTGGGTTGGGAAGTCCTCTCTGAAGGGAGAATATTTGTGATGAGAAGGAGCCTGTCTTTGCAGGAATTTCATGGCAGGGGAAACAGCAAGTATACAGGCCCTAAAAGGGAATGGGCCTCAGGGAAAGAATAAAGTAAAAGTCAAATTAGAGCTTAGTCTGAAAACAGAAGAGTAGGTCAAGATAAAGTTGTCAAGGCAGGCAGGGAATATTCAGGTCCCAGGAAAGATGAAGCAGGAAGCATGGGGGAAGAGAAGGGTGGGTAACCAAGATGTAAAGCACGTAGGGTAAGAAAATTTAAAAACGAGAGGAAAAGGGTATAATGAAAAGTAAAAGGTACCTCCCCTTCTTATCCCTAAAGTAATCTGTCACATATTATGTGCATCCTTTCAGGCCTTGTGCACACGCATGTGTGTGTCCTTTTACAATCATCATATACAACATTACCTATGATGTATTCTAACCAAAACGTGTAGCTCAAATCATCAAGACTTGAGGTAAAACTTCCAGTTTACAAGAATACAAGGGAGAAAGAAATAAGTCAAACAGTACAACCAGGAAAATCCAGAAGGTTGGGCATTTATAGAACAACTAGCAAAGAGGCTCATCAAGTCAGGGTCATAAAAAGGGACTAAGCTCAATTAAACTAAGAATACACCATCTATTTGTATCCTTGGCGTCTAGCACAGTGTCTGGCACACAGGAATCACTCACATGCCTTATGAGTGAATGAGGTGAATCTGTAGGCTCCCACATTATGTCACTTACTTACCGAAAACATACTTGAATTAAAATAGACATCTGGACAACTAAAGGAAGCACCAGGATATAGGGATGTATTTACTCAAATTGCAGAGATTACTATTCATTACATAGGCATGTCTCAATTATATTAATATATAATAATTAACAAGCAAGTAACCTGATGGATGAGCTTTTTGCTTGTAGACATACAATCCTGCTGCCTCTATCTTCAAGTCTAACCCAAACCTGACCATTCTTTCACTGCCTAATCCACAACCACAACCATCATCCCTTTCTTAAACATTAGCAAGAATGCTGTTTCTCTGTTTCTCCTCCTAAATCTGCTCATACTGTTTTCCAAACAGCTGCCAGAACCAGCCCTTTACAGCATTCACCACATTACTTCCCTGATCCAATTTCCAATGTGTCCCCAACACTTCCAACTTCCTACATGGTCTGTGGTGACCCTCCCAACTTCACCTACCTTCTACCACTCATTCCTCGGCTCAGTCCTCCTCAGCCACACCGGTCCTGCTATTTCTTGATCATGCTGAGCTATTAAGATTCAGGGCCTCTATTTTTGTTCCATCCACCAAGAACACCCTTACTTCCAGGTCTTGCAAGGGCTTACTCCCCTATTCTGCTCAGGTCTCTACTCAAAATGCTAATTCCTCAGTGCAATCTTTCCTAACAACCACTTCTAAAGAAAAACTTTCAACTCCTCTTCCAGTCCCTCACTCTGCTTATATATGCTTAAAAACAAACACAAGTACATACAGTGTATTTATCTGTTTACTGTCTCCTCCACTCTAACAGGAACTCCATGAGAACAGGCCATTTAATTTTCTTCCCAGTATCTAACACAGTAAGTGCATATTGTAAGCACTCATATTTGAGAATGAATGAATAAATAAATAATATGAAGAGGCAATGAATAGAATGAGCAGAGACAATGGTTTGGGAAAAAGTTTCTTGTATATTTTTAACTACTTACAATATATCTTAATCCATATAAAACAAAATGAAACTGTGAACACCTGACACCTGTACCCTGGAGCAGTAATACTTCTTCTTCATGAGCTATTAGAGGAATAAGACCAGCTTAAAAAAAAATCTAAGAGCTGAGAAATATTATTAGTACTGGAGACCCCATTATCTTCACTGAGAAGCTACCTGACAATGTAGTGTCCTCTTGGCCAACATCCCACAGATGTTGTGTAGTGACCTCTTCTGAGTACTCACATTCTACCCAACCAAAGATACTACTAGACTGTTAGTTTCTTAATGGCAATTGTTCACCTGCCCAGGGAATGACTATGACTGCACAGCAGCACTCAGATGATTTACTGAATGAACTGTGTATACTTCCTGTAGTCTATACTTTTCCCAAATGTGTACCTCAGACTTCTCTGGCAAAGCAGGAAGTAAAATTATCTGTAAGAACTAATACGGTCAAATAGTAACAGCCCCTTTCTTGGTCTAAATTATTTCAACTGTTGCATTTTTTGCCTGTTCTGTCAATGTATCTGAACCAAAAGTAGGCTGTTCATCCACATCAAGTGGTACACTTCACCACCCAAAACATAATGACACTAAAAATAAGGTCAACAGGGATAGAGCCTATTAAATTACAAGGGAGATTAACAATAGCTCTTCATTTTAAACACATATCAAAATGGAGCACTTTCTTCTTACAGAAGTTAGTATCTTTCACGTAAGACAATATGGTCAACCTTATCACACTGAATTAAATTTTACAGGAAATTTCATAAAACAAAGGGTCTCAAGATAAACCTCAAGTCCAACCTGAATTGGGCATTTCACCATTAAATAAAAGGGTGACAAATACATTTTCACATAGATGTGCCTTCTATAATGGTAAAGAAAGTTCTGTAACTTGATTCAAAGAGAGAAAGAGACTATATAGAGATGTGATTACATGAAGCCCTTATACTGATGACTATGAACACAAGGCGAAAGACAGACTTTATTTCATAAAATAAACAGCTTAAATCTTTTATGACCTTTCACTTATAGTCAGTGATTAATGTGAGTAAAGGCTAAACACGGAGTACAAAACACCACTAACCTTTTGACTTCTTTACATCAGGTTCAGGCTCAGATTCTCGGATGAATTGCCCCAAGTCACTGACTCTTCCAAATGTCATCTTCCTAAATAAGCATAAAAAGAAGAATGTAATTTCTACAATTTTAGGTTAGGAAGAAAAACTTCAATTTAAAAGCATCTCATCTAAATGTAAAAAGCTAGAAGCATAATTTATACCAATCTCATGTTATTCAAAGAGGGGCTTATTTAAAACAGAACAATCCCCATAGACAGCAAAATAATCTTTAATTCAATGCAATTCCATTCAAGATTCCAAAAAGTATATGAAACATGACAAGTTAAAAGGTAATTCACAATTCTAAAATTCATACAGAGGAGAAAAGATACAGAATAGCCAAAATAATTTCTTAAAAGAAGAGACAAAAGGAAAGGACTTGCCCTAAGAAGATGAAAATGGATTTTATGGCTACAGTCACACACACACACACACACACACACACACACACACACACACACACAGTGATATAAAGTGAAGTTAAAAGGCAAAGAACAAGAAATGGACAACTTTTTAGAAAAAAACAACCTTCCAAGACGGACCAAGGAAGAAACAGAAAATCTAAACAGACCAATTACCAACAATGAAATTGAACTGGTAATCAAAAGACTACCCAAAAACAAAACTCCCAGACCTGATGGCTTCACTGCTGAATTTTATCAGACATTTAGAGAAGACCTAATACCCATCCTCCTTGAAGTTTTCCAAAGAGTAAAAGAGGAGGAAATACTTCCAAACTCATTCTATGAAGCCAGCATCACTGTAATATCAAAACCAGGCAAACATCACGAAATAAGAAAACTACAGACCAATATCCCTGATGAACACAGATGCAAAAATACTCAACAAAGTGTTAGCAAACCGAATTCAAAAACACATCAAGAGGATCATAAGTCATGATCAAGTGGGATTTATTCCAGGGATGTAAGGATGGTACAACATTAAAAAATCCATCATCATCATTTACTACATCAATAAAAAGGACAAAAATTACATGATCATTTCCACAGATGCTGAAAAAGTATTTGACAAAATTCAACACCCATTCATGATAAAAACTCTCAACAAAATGGGTATAGAAGGCAAGGACCTCAACAAAATAAAGGCCACAGACAACAAACTCACAGCCAACATCAAACTTAACAGTGAAAGGCTGAAAGCTTTTTCCTCTAAGATCAGGAAAAAGACAAGGATGCTCACTCTCCCCACTTTTATTCAACATAGTTCTGGAGGTCCTAGCCATAGCAATCAGACAACACAAAGAAATAGAAGGCATCCAGATCAGCAAGGAACAAGTGAAACTGTCCCTGTTTGTAGATGACATGATATTGTACTTAAAAAACTCTAAAGAATCCACCCCAAAACTACTAGAACTAAAACCTATCTGAATTCAGCAAAGTTGTAGGATACAAAATTAATACATAGAAATCTGTTGAATTCCTATACACTAATGATGAACTAGCAGAAAGAGAAATCAGGAGAACAATTCCATTCACAATTGCATCAAAAAGAATAAAATACCTAGGAATAAATGTAACCAAGGAAGTGAAAGACCTATACCCTGAAAGACACTCTTGAGAGAAATTAAAGAGGACACTAACAAATGGAAATTCATCCCATGCTCTTGGGTACAAAGAATTAATGTTGTCAAAATGGCCATCCTGCCTAAAGCAATCTACAGATTCAATTCAATCCTTATCAAAATACTGGCAGCATTCTTCAATGAACTGGGACAAATAGTTCTAAAATTTATATGGAACCACAAAGACCCCAAATAGCCAAAGCAATCCTGAGAAGAAAGAATAAATCAGGGGGGATTACCCTTCCCAACTTCAAGCTCTACTACAAAGCCACAGTAATCAAGACAATTTGGTACTGGCACAAGAACAGACACATAGACCACTGGAAAAGAATAGTGGGCCCAGATACGAACCTACACATATATGGCCAGTTACTATATGATAAAGGAGTCATGGACATAGAATGGGGATATGACAGCCTCTTCAATAGCTGGTGTTGGCAAAACTGGACAGCTACATGTAAGAGAATGAAACTGGATTATTGTCTAACTCCATACACAAAAGTAAACTCAAAATGGATCAAAGACCTGAATGTATGTTATGAAACCATAAAACTCTGAGAAGAAAACGTGGGCAAAACTCTCTTGAATATAAACATGAGGAACTTTTTCATGAACATATTTCTGCGGACAAGGGAAACAAAAGCAAAAATGAACAAACGGGACTATATCAAGCTAAAAAGCTTCTGTACAGCAAAGGACACCATGAGTAGAACAAAAAGGCATCCTATAGTATGGTAGGATATATTCATATCCAATAAGGGGTTGACATCCAAAACATATAACGAGCTGACACACCTCGACAACTAAAAAGCAAATAACCCTATTAAAAAATGGGCAGGAGATCTGAACAGACAATTCTCCAAAGAAGAAATTCAGATGGCCAACAGGCACGTGAAAAGATGCTCCACATCACTAATCATCAGAAAAATGCAAATTAAAACCACAATGAGTTATCACCTCACACCAGTCAGGACGGCTGCCATACAAAAGACAAACAACAACAAATGCTGATGAGGATGTGGAGAAAGGGGAACCTTCCTACATTGCTGGTGGGAATGTAAATTAGTTCAACTATTCTGGAAAGCAGTATGGACGTTCCTCGAAATATTACAAATAGAAATACTATTTGACCCAGGAATCCCACTCCTAGGAATTTACCAGAAGAAAACAGGATCACAGATTCAAAAAGACATACTCCTATGTTTATCACAGCACTATTTATAATAGCCAAGAAATGGAAGCAACCTAAGTGTGTCCATCAGTAGATGAATGGATAAAGATGTGGTACATATACACAATGGAATACTACTCAGCCATAAGAAGAGAACAAATCCTACCATTTGCAACAACATGGATGGAGCTAGATGGCATTATACTCAGTGAAATAAGCCAGGTGGAGAAAGACAAGTACCAAATGATTTCACTCATATGTGGAGTATAACAACAAAGCAAAAACTGAAGGAACAAAACAGCAGCCGACTCACAGAACCCAAAAATGGACTAACAGTTACCGAAGGGAAAGGGACTGGGGAGAGTGGGTGGGGAGGGAGGGATAAGGGGATTAAGGGGCATTAGGATTAGCATGCATAATACAGTGGTCCACAGGGAAGGCAGTATAGCACAGAGAAGACAAGTAGTGACTCTAGAGCTATGCTGATAGACAGTGACTATAATGGGGTCTATGGTGGGGACTTGACAATAGGGGGAATGTAGTAACCACAATGTTGCTCATGTGAAACTTGAACATAAGATTGTATAGCAATAATAACTTAATAAGAAATAAATTTAAAAATACATAAATAAATAAAAGGTAAAGAACACAGCAAAAGTCTCATTTCTTAAGATATTGCTAACCAACAATATCCAGAAACATACAGAATTCCAATAAGTCACTAAGAAATCACCAACCATATGTGAAAGGAGACAAATACTTAATTCATAGAAAAAAACCCGAGCAACCAAAAACAAGCCAAAAGAAGCTCAGTCAATCCCACAAGCAAAAATCTAAGATAAAAATTAAATGTTTGATCTCATTTAGTGTAGACAACCAACTGGGGAAAATTAGTATCTTTATTAATGGTGGCTAAGAATACAAAATATTTTTAGAGATATTTTTAGAGGTAAACTGGTACAAGATCTATTGAAATTTAAAACCTCCTTTTTGGTATAAGGGAAGTATATACAAGGAAGTCCTCTGCTATACTGTGTATAACAGGGAAAAATTGCAAACAACTTACATTACATACTCATCAATACCGAACTAGCCAAATAGTGGCACAACACATTACGGAAACTTCTGCCACAGTTATGACCTATAATTAACATTATATAAGGAATGCTAAAACATTGTTAAAATGAGGTAAATCTGAACAGACTCATACAAAAGAATCTCCAAAATTCACTATGAATGAAAGCACAAGATACAGAAAAGTGTGTAACATCAATTACATAAAAATAAGCAAACAAAAATATACACCATAACATAACCGTGGTTATCCTGAGTAGGAAGGGAAGAACATGGGCACTGACACACAATCAAAGGGGACACTGGCCTTATCTGCAAATTTAATACTTTATAAGAAGAGGTTAATGTATTTGTAATTAAAAGTTAAAAGGAGAAAAACAAATTTAGTGATACCTTTGTATTATTTCCTTTCCAGCAAAGTGCATCTTATTTTAGAGATATCCTTCCTAATAAGTTATCATTTCACACACGTGTGCCAATATACACCAACTGATACAAATTTGTTTGCCTTGAGAAAAACTTAGGAAGATGCTAAAACCATTAAAACTAAAATAAACACTGAAAACTATCTTTAAATATGAAGAACAATAATTCATTTCTCTATTTCTGATTCATTTTTTAAAAATATATTTATTTTACATACACAAAAAAACTACAGAAGTAAAACATCTTGCAACTGATAGACTGTCTCAAGTAAGGTTTTAAATAAATGGATCAACCATTCCTTAAGAATAAATATCTTTGGGAATCAAGGATTATTGCCCTCGTTTAGGCCTATTGTCCACCATTTCCTAAAAGAAGAAATAAAGATTTACTACAATGCTGACACAGATGAGGTGCTTTCCAAAGACAATGTGGTCAACTAATTTTTATTTACTTCAAAGTACTTTTCTAGACTCCTTAATCTCCCAAATGTAAGTTGTACTTTCCAATAAAAGCAATTAAATACACTGAAATTCCTTTAGAGCACTGCCCAACCATGGTTGGAGCTGGAGTTTATTAGTCAAGACTTTACACAGGTTTATGTGTTAATCAAGCTATCTTTAAGGGAAGAGATTTTATGATCTGATCTGTGGCATATCCTATGAATCACTGTCTTTTTGTTACAGGATAAAATAAACAACCAATAAATACAAAGGACTAATTTTATTTCATTTCCCATATTAGTTATAAAGTCCTAAATGAATGATATTGGCATCTTTGTACTTTATTTGTATTTTTGCTTTTAACATAGGACTCAAACAAAACAGAAGAGATAGCCTAAAACATACTATATAAATATGACACTCATCAATCTTATTAAGGTGGTGGAATAATGATGGTAATAATATTTACAAAGTGCTTACTAGATTTGTTTTAAATGCTTTTCATCTATTACACCACTTAATCCCCTCAACAGCCCAATAAAGTAGTAATATTATCTTCACTTTACAGATGAGAAAACTTAAGAGACAAAGAGGTTAGGTAGACTGCCAATGAGTGGCTAAGCCAACATTAAAAACGAGGAGGCCACTTCTGAGCCTTTACTCCCAATCATGTTCTATGGCACATTATGAAGTGCTGGGCATATAATAATGTATGAAAAATAATTTTAAAATTTTAAATTAAAAAATTTAAAAGATACAAAATTCACTACACTTGTAAAAATTCTAGACATGAGCCAAACTTACCCTGCATACGTCCGTTGATATAAAGATTCTGGATCCAGACTTGCAGCATCAACAATTATCGCTTCATCAAAATTTTTTAAAATTTTAACACTGGCTTTTTTCATACTGGACTACAACAAAAATTGTAAATTTAATAGTTTATTATTCAGGAATCAAATTAGTCCTGGGTTTCTATGACAGATTAGTACAAAATCTTTACTGTTCGAAATAAATTCAATTTTCATTTAACCCATCACTACTGAGATGCTAATAACAATGATTCTGAAATGTAACCTCAAAATATAACTACAGGAGGAAAGCACAATATTAAAATGTATACATATGTATAAGTATGTTTTCTTATTTTCTTAATGACCTAAATTCCTGTGCTGTCTTCACAGGAATTATGTTCCCAAGTGTGCAAAGCAACCATCCATCCAGGTATATGCACCTTGGCTAATAAAGGTAAAGTCCAACTTTTACAGGATAACCATGAATGCTTCTGACTGAGGCCATGTGACAAAAAGAAGCTAAGAATAACTTCCTAAAATAACCAGCTAGATGAGTGTAGTTAAGTTCCCCTCCAGTATTCTACCTTTCACAAAAATAGCAAGTCAGAATTGGTATTTTTTTGAAACATAGAGCCATGGGTTGACTAAGAAATTCTACATCTAAAAATACAATTACAAACACACTTACACACAGAATTATTCACTGAAACATTGTTTAAAATAACAAAAAACAGGAACATGGTTAATATCCATGACTAAGATATAGGTTAAGTTAATAAATAACTGAACAGACTCTTATAGAACACTCTTATAGAAAAAGGGCTCTCTTTATTGTGCCAAGGAAGGCATATAATTAAAAAGAAAAAGGCACCAGAATAAAGAGGGGATACTTTTTTGAGTCTATTTTTACTCAGATACCAAAACCAGATATCATAAGAAAAGAGAACAGACCAATATCTCATGAGTACATATGCAAAATCCTCAAGAAAAATACTAGCAAACCAAACCTGGCAGCATATAAAAATAATTATATACCACAACCAAGTGGGATTTATCCCAGGAATTCACGGTTGACTTAACATCTCATAATCAATGTACACTGATATACTATATCAATAGAGTAAAAATCAAAAACCCACATGATCATTTCAAGTGATACAGAAGAGCATTTGACAAAATACAACATGCTTTTATGATAAAAAAAATCAATAAATTGGGAACAGTAGGGAACTTTCTCGACTTGATAAAAAGCATTTTGAAGAACAATTAACATCAGCTAAAGGGTAAAAAACTGTAAGCTTTCCCTATGAGATCAGGAACAAGACAAAAATTCCCACTTTCACCACTTTTATTCAACATGGTATTGTATGTTGTAGCCAGAGAAATTAGATAAGAAAATGAAATAAAAGGTATCCAAAGTGGTAAGAAGAAAACTATTTCTATTCAGAGAGATGACATGATCTTACATGTAGAAAATCCTAAAGAATCCACAAGAAAACTAATAGAGCTAGCAAATTAATTTAGTAAAATTGAAGACACAATATCAACACACAAAAGCAATTATATTTCTATGCATTATCAATGAAGAATTTAAAAATGAAATCAAGAAAACAATTTTATTTCTAGTAGCACTGAAGAAGTATAAAATACTTAGGAATAAATTGACCCAAGGAGATGTAAGACTTGTACACAGAATACTATAAATGTTGCTGAAATTAAAGATATCCCATGTTCATGTACTGGAAGACTAATATTGTTAAGATGGCAATACTCCCCAATCTACACATTCAATGTAATCCTGATCAAAATGAAAAAGGTGATTCTAAAATTTATATGGAATTACAAGGGACCCATAATAGCCAAAACAAACTTGCAAATGAAAAAAGCAAAGTTGGAGGATGCACACTTCCTGATTTCAAAACTTACAAAGCCATAGTAATCAAAACAATGTAATATTGGCAGAAGGATAGACACACAGATTGATGGAGCAAAACTGAGAGTCCAGAAATAAACCCATACATCTATGGTGAGATGACTTTCAACAAGGATGCCAAGGCTATTTCAAGAGTGAAAGAATAATTTTTTCAATAAATGGTCCTGGGACGACTATATTGAAAAGAATAAAGTTGGCCCTACCTCACATAAGATGCAAAACTAACTCAAAATAGATCAAAGGCCTAAAACTCTTAGAAGATTTGAGAGGTGTTAGTTAAAGGATACAGAGTTTCTTTCTTGGGTAAAAAGACAAAGAAATGTTCTAAAATTGATTATGGTGACAGTTAAGCACTCCATGAATGTACCACAAAGCACTGAATTATATACGATGTAAACGGATGGATTATATGGTATGTGAATTTTTATCTCAAAGCTGCACAAAAAAAAAAAAAGAAAGAAGAATATGTACAGTATGATCTCAGTTATAAAATGGTAAGAACAGGTAATAACAATCAATGCCATCAAGTCAGGATAGTAGCTAACCTGGCAGGGAGGAAGACAGTACCTAGAGGGGTCACAAGAGTTTCCAATGTACTGATAATATTCTGACTCTTGATCTGGATGCTTGTTACAAGGGTTAGGTCTGTTTATGAAAATTCTTCAGGCTATGTATAATTATGGTGTGTAGTTTCCTATATGTATATTATGTTTCAACCAAAAATGTAAAATATATTTATGGTTAGCATCTAGGTCTTGAAAGTGCCTAAATAAAAAAACATTTTAGCCTATATCAAAGAACAAAATGGCAACCAGATTTAGCAGGTCACCTCCTATGTAAGTAACCTTAATAGGAGGAAAAGGTACTGAGGAAAGCCATGTTGATGGTGATTATTGATGGCAATAAAATAGTACTGTCTTACAGATAGAGAAAATTTACCCAATGCCCAGGGAAAAAATATCCAAAGTGCTATTTGTTAACAGTAACAAGAAAATAATTAAGCTGTATTATTAAACTTAGGGCAAAGAACAGATGTGGACTATACTTCTGGCTCTAACACTGTAACTTCAATAAAACCAGTTAACTTTTTTTTTTTTAATCAGTTAACTTCTTAATATCTCCTTAGATCTCTTGGGGATAACCAAGATCTCTTGGTGTGATTTTGGGGAGAATCAGATAAGGTTTGATATACTAATGTACTCCAAAAAATACAAAAAATACAAAAAAGGTTAAGGAAATGTAAAATGGCACTACAGTTCAGAAAACCAAAAGCCCTTCAGTGAAAAACAGTATTAGGAAACATAGGAGCTCACTCAATTATTCTTTAAAGAAAGCATCCAAATTTAGTTACTAAAATTTCCTGAATTATCACACAAAGAGCTCTTCAGAAACTCCAAATGAATGTTATGTTTACTAAAAGCAACAACTACAGTGTCCAGCAGAGTAATAGCCTGAATGAAACAGCATGACAAAAAGGTAAAAAGACAAAGGAATGTTCTAAAATTGACTATGGTGACAGTTAAGCACTCCATGAATGTACCACAAAGCACTGAATTATATACAATGTAAACAGATGAATTATACGGTATGTGAATTTTATCTCAAAGCATGATACCTTATAGTATAATATGCTGTTAATCACCATAAACACTTTGATAAGAATATATAAGCAGCCTGATTTTGTTTCTCTTTTGTTTATTCTGCAACTTAAAACTTACAAACAGGATCTATTACTGGTGTTTGAAGAAGATCTGTAGGCTTTTTTTCCTAATGGCAGAGGTAAATGGATCAATACCTGAGAAAGTGAGCTGTCGGAACCACCTGGGTGAGAGTCATCAGGGGGGCCCAAAGAGCTGTGAGCAGTAAGTGAAACACTCCCTCCTAGAAATTCATCTCCTCGAACTGAATGAATGAGATCATTCAAATATTTATAATAAAGATTGCTGGACAAAAAGCCAGGCAAAAAGACCTGAAAGAGAAGACAAGCATTATTTTAAAGTTAAAATCACATACAACTAAAACTTTATTTTAAAACAAAATTTTACCTACAATTCTACCAGCTACTACAAATGACTTTACTTTTTATTATACTTCAAGTATTATCCCTTTGTACACAGTTTACACTGTAACTATAAATTGCAAGTATGATTTATGTTTTTCCCCTCAAATAGCTGCCATGAAAATATTACATAGACCTGATATTCACATTTCCTTAGTGTCCATAAAATAGTCCAAAGACTGGATATAATTTGATATTAGATTTTTCTGGTTTGTTATAGATATTAAAGTCTTTGTCTATATACTGATTCTAACTGTTGAACTGATTTCCTTAAGATAAACTACCAGGAGTGTGATTACTGAATTAAATAATATGATCATTTTAGATTTGATATATCCAGTCAATTTACCATTTAGAGGTATCAGTGTATATTACCTGCAATATTATCAAGGTAAATGTTTTGACACAGGCTTACCAACACTGGACTGTGTTTTTTCAAATGTTGTTAAATAAATGCTTAATGGTACATGGATGTTTTTATTTGCATTTAAAAATGATTAATGATGCTGAATAAGTTCCCATTACTGTTGGGAACATTTCCTATTACTAACTTTTCCTTCATGGCATCTTCTTTTTAGACAGAGCTCCAGGAGCCATGCTTCTTTTATTTACCACTGAAACACCAACACCTAGCACAGAAATACTCAAAGTATTGGTGAACTTGATAGTATTCTTAAAATTAGTATAAGTCCTTTCCTTGCATACACACATTTATTGAGAAATATTTTTATATTTACATTTTATATATATTTTAATTTTATTACCCAGGAAGTCTATATTCTGTATATGATACAGATTTGAATCTTTTCCTGTTAAAACAGAAATATTTTAATTTTAAACATGAAATAAATTATTATTCCTGGGCAAAAACTGATATGCTCTTTAGTTTACCACCAGCTTTTTAATTATCTGATTTTTATATGTAACTCTTCCTTATTCCTGGGGTTCAGTTTCTATGTGTGATCAATGTATGTATCAGTGCTCACTTAACCCTTATCCACCTAGATACACATGACATATTTAAGTGACAAAACCTCATGGGTTTATCCTGGGCTCTTGTGTAATTCCTGGTAGAATACTCTAGTTTATTAGAAGAATAAATCATTCTCAAATACCAACATTTCATTATTAAAAAGCTATTAGTGATATCCCATAAGTTATCATGAAACACAAAACTAGTGCTCCAACACCATTGACAGATATTGGTGGAATATATGGATCATTCATAAGCTAACTTTGCCCAATACTATTATCTAATTATCTAAAAAGACATAAAAAAAAACAGTAATAGTAGCAGTGAATATTTTTTAATGCTTACTATATGTGTCAAGTACTACATTAATAATAAGAATTGCATACATCTTACCTCATTTTTATCCTCAACATAACTTTGAGGTAAGTCCATATTATCCCCTTTTACAGATGAGAATAGCATTAAAGATTTTCAACAACTGCTTGACATCACTCAGTCTCTAATGGTTAAGATTCATACATACGAAGTCAGATTCAAAGCCTTTGCTCTTAAACATTATGCCACAACTGCTTCGATTTCCCACTGTTCTGTTTCATTTGGGTTTTTTTTTGTATGCTATACATTCTGGGTTCCACCAAAAAAAACCTATTGTAGTTTAATTACCTTCTCCATGGTTGTCCAGGCCTGACGTAATGGAGTTGTGAAACAGTTAGGGAGTGGCCCACCTTCCCTGCAGATATTGGATTCAATTTCTAATCGCACGACATCATCAAATCCAAGAGGATGCGTGGCTTGCAGGGAGAAGTACCTAGGGCAGAAAGAAAGCCAAAGTAAAACCAAATTCCATTAAAACTAAATTCCACAGCAAGTTTAAAGCCACTTTGGCATCTAATGAGAGAATCTTCTATGATGCTACATGTATCAGTCTATATGTCTAGATTATTGAGCCGGGTGCCCAGCTGCGACCTCTACTCCTATTGTCCCAAAGATATCTGAGTCAACTTGCTCCTCTCCATCTGCCTTCCATCGTCCTTAGTTCCTGTTTAAGATTTCTGAGGGTCAGGCTACAGCTAAGGCAAGGGAATCAACCAAGCACACGTATTTAATTGGCACTTATTCTCTGTTCAGCACTTAGTAGACAGAGATGGGTTTAAAAGAGGGCAAGACACAGTCATTTCCCCTGGAAAGGGAGCAGGAAAGACCCATGAATGGAATACAATAAGAACACACCATCACAACTATAAGGCATATATAAAATACATTATAGGAATTCAAAACAAAATAGCACTGAGGGTGAACTGGATGGATCTGATGTCCTTGGACAGAATAATAGGACTTGCTGATTTATAAAGTGGATACAAAAAAGCATTAAAAGCAGAAAAACTTATCTGTCCTCTTCCAAACACTGGAGTGGGTTTTAACTCCTGTCTATGATACAAATACAGAAAAGCTGTTGAGGCATGACTGTGATGATGCATATGTAAAAGAAAAAAACAAGCAGGAACTCATAAAGTGAAATTTGGTATAATGAATCTGGTAAAATGACAGCACCAATGGGATGCCACACAGCAATCTTCATCTGAAAATGGAATACAGTGGGAAAACAGCGTCTCGGTTCTGTGTGGTTACTGTGCACCGGCCAGGACCTTACTAATGTCACTCTTCTGTTCCGGCATAAAGAAAACTTACTTTTTGTTATTGGTATTTTTGTAACAAGAAGTGAGTCTCCATCTTGCAATAATAAGTTAGTAAATATTCCTTCATGATTTGAATTTTTGGGCACACCAGACCAAATTTCTAAATGTAAACTAAAGACTTGCAATTTCAATGTCCATGTAAAAATGTTTCCTATGCAATATTTTCCACAAATATACTAAAATAAACACTGAACAAACATTAACAACTGCATTCCGGTCGAAGTCCTGCCACTAACTTGCCCTGTGACTTTGATAAAATCATTACTCCTCTGACCTTAGTTTTCTTACCTGCAAAATGGGAACACAGACTAGATTCCCTAATCTGGCTACTCATCACAATCATCTGGGATGTTTTCTAAAAGCAAAGATTCCTGCTGAATCAGAATCTCCTAGAGGGGAAAACTGGATACCTATTTTTAACAAGCTCCCAGGTGCTTCTTATGCAGACAGCCCAGCATGAGGCTGCAGAGCAATATTCAGGAGCCACTGACCTAGATGCTTTTAGCTCCCTTCCAACCCTCACAGCTCGTGGATTTTTCTATACCAAGTTACCTTCTTAGCACTTAGCACTTGCTTGTAGATACAAACAACACACTACTTTTCTTTAAATAAGAAAAGTTAAATGAAAAGAATGAACATCATGTGTCATGGAGCTGGCCACAGCCTTAACGCTTGCCTGACCAGATGTTTTTAATTCTGCTGATTGCAAGATTTTGCCATTCTCTCATTTTAAGTGAAGCCTAATGAAAAACTATTATTCACTGAGCAGTTAATTGGGCTGAGCAGATCTGCACTCATACTGCAGAGTTGAAACCCTTCACAATATGTCCCAATTGGTCTCACTTTCCTCTTACACCCAAGTTTCAATTACCCAAACTCAAGTTTCTTGAAAGTGCCGCTGCTTCCCCCTAGTTTCTTTGGGCCAACGTCTCTGTCTAGAATACTCTTTCCCACCTTCTCCTGCTAGAAAAATTCAACTCATTCCTCAGGATCTAATTGTGGATACAGTAAAGGTTCCTGTGGCCAGGATTCTCACCTGGCCCTGGTCGGCTTGCTCACTACACATGTGTGGGCAATACATTGTTACTGACTCTATACAAAGAGCTCTGCCCAGTGCTCTGGAAGATATGGTGGCACAGCTGCAAGGCTGCACGAGAGCAGAGACGAGACTGGAGAGGTGGCAGTGCTGAGGACAGAGACTGAGAGGGCTGCGGGGATAGAGAGGCCCAGACGCAAAGACCAGCTTGCTGCATGCAGACTCACTCTGAGTAGACAGGATTCTAGTGATTGACCTGCCACCGTGGGAACAAAGTTGAGCATAATCCTTTCAACCTAACATTCTACTGTCATTTCTTTGGTTACATTGAATTCATAGTGAACTTGTCCAGGGCTGAAACCCATTGGCAAGACACAATTCAATCCTTTTCTCTGTGCAACCCTCCCTGAACTCCACCTCCATTGTCCTGATTGCCACACACAAACACCCTCTTTCCGCAACAGAAACTTTTAAGAATCCCCAAAACTTAACACACTATATGAAAAGGAGCAGCTTTCACACTACTCCTGGTAAGCTCCTTGAAAGCAGGGGCTGAATTTATTCACCTTTATTTACGAAGTACTATCAAATACTCCATATATATATATATTTGCTAAGTGCTGAATACATCTGTTAATATAACTCACTTGTCATATAAAATCATGGCATCGTTCTGTGCCTCCTGTCCATCATACTGGCCCTTTTTGGCAGCAAGCTGAGACTGGAAGTTATCTGCGGCCAACCAGAATTGTAAGATATTCACTGCATCCTCTTTTTCCATGTACTAGGAAGGAAAAATACAAGAGGAAAATATGACTATAAACATATTTCTCTCACCATCTCTAATCTATAGTCCCAACTATTAAAATATAGGACATACTTATTGTAGCATTATGTAAAATAGCCAAGATATGGAAGCAACCTAAGTATCCATAAATAGATAAATGGATAAAGAAGATGTGGGACATACACACACACACAACAGAATATTACTCAGCCATAAAAAAAAGGACAAACCCTTGCTATTCATGACAACAAGGATGAGCCTAAAGGGTATCATGCTAATGAATAAGCAAAGAAAGACAAATACCATATGATTTCACTTATATATGGAATCAAAAAAACAAAAACAGAAAGAGACTCATAAATATGAGAACAAACTGGTGGTTGCCATAAGGGAAGGGATCAAGGGGATGGGTAGAATAGATTAAGCGGATAAAGTGGTACAAACTTCTAATTATAAAGTAAGTCACATGGATAAGAAGTACAGCACAGGGAATACAGTCAATAATATTATAACTTTGTATGGCAACAGATGGTAACTACAATTATATTGAGCATTTAGTAATGCATGTAATTACTGAAACACTATGTTGTACATGTAAAACAATATAATACTGTATGTGAACTATACTTCAGGAAAAGAGAATCTGAAAAAATTCATAAAATCAAGGACACAGGCAAACAAGCAAATGAAAAATGATCCACTTGTTCAGTTAATGTAAGTCAGCAACTTGATAGTCTTTTGAGATTGACGTTAGAAAATAGTCTTTTAGGGGAAAAAAACCCAAAAATATAACTACCAAAGAGCTGGATGCATCAGTGAACTGGAATAAAAATTATAGTAAAGATGATCAGTGGTCCCTCACTGGAAAACATACAAAGAGCAAACTATTTTGTACCTGATCATGTTCACCATTCCATGTGCCATATTAACCTAAGCAAATGCTGAACTTCAACTCAGGCAAAGAGAGAGAGTGGAAAGATAAACCAACTGCACAACTGCATCCTCATGAAGAGGCAGAATTCAAGTGTGTATCTAAGTTACTGCTTCGTGAGATGGGGAATCCTCTCATATCTACTTAACAGTCATTTGTTTTGCAACAAAAGAACTTCACGTGAAGCCTAACAAATGCATCACACGGAAGTGCATGCCAAAGAGAGAGAGACACACACTACTGGTGGCAAATGCTCTGCTGGGCAATCCTACCCAGTGGCTGAAATAAATATGACCACAGGAAAAAACCTGCTGTTTTCTTTTTCTCCTCTAAAGCCTGATCTGCAATTATTTGTGCACCTTAATCAAGTATCAAATTCTGTGGTTTCAAAACAGTTCCAAATAATTAAAAATACATATTCTCTTACTAAGAATTTTAATCAGGTTTTTCCATAATTAGAGTTATTTTCCTTGGATCCTCATGTTCTCTTCAATCTACTATGCCAGTAAAGCACTCTTGTCATAAACTACATACCACTTAAAGCAATAATAAAATTATTCCAATCCAACTGATCTTCCTGGAAGTGATTTGTCTCTTCTATTCATTTTCTATAGGCAGGGCCCCAGCATTTATAGATTAGAAGCTGGAGTGCTCTAAGAGAGTGTGAAAGGAAATGCAGACTTTACCTCAGAGAAATAAAAGAGAGCTGACTCACAGAAGAGAATGTCAGCCAGGTAAACAGTCCCACTGGTCAGCACTTCAATCTGGTATTTACAGAAATGGTGACTTCGCAGAAACTCACTAAAGTGCCTGCACATGGACAAAAAGGGAAAATTTGAGGGAATGACCAAGGAAAGAGTTTCACTGGGAAAAACACACTCTTTCCATACTGTGCCTACTGTATTTTAAAAGCCTAGGTCAACACTACCTCTCTTTCCAGGTGTCACTCCTGAGTCCTCCACCTGTTAAGTAATCTCTCCCATCCCTTAATTACTTTGTAGCTTTCCTCTGATATTTAACACAGGCTACCTCATATTACAGTAACCAAAGAACATGCCTTATTTCTCTTATTAGGCTGTAACTTCCTTCAAGGTAGGTACAATATCCAACTGCACCTTGCATGGGGCACCCTTTTCATAAATGTTAAATGAAAGAATGAATCCATAGATTTTTTTAAAGGTATGCAGCAGCAATTCAAAAAAAATGTGGAGGTAGTTTCAACAAATCTATGTGGATTTAGTAATACAGTATCCATTAAGCTTATAAAGCAATTCTAATTGTCACATTATAGTCACAATCACCCCCAAATGACTTCAGAATTAAATTCTCTTAACTTATAAAATATTAACATTAAAAATGAAAATTTATTTTTAATGGAGTTCACATAATTTATATTTAAAAGAAACTGCTAACCAAGGTAGTCTTAGAGTATGCCAATAAGATCCTGTAAACATTCAAAATACTTAAATCCTCAAAGCCCATTCCTAACACTAACCCAAATTTCCAAGAATGCAAAATGTGAAAGTGTGAAATTAACTTACTCTTGCTCCATTGCACTAAAGACTACGGACTGTGCCAAAACAAAACAGTTGGGATCCACCTGTCCATCTTCTCCACAAATCTTTGCTATAAAAAGAAATGGTAAATAATTAAATTCCTACTAAATCCAAACTATACACATATATGAATCAACGTTGGAAATAACTGTAAAGGCATATAAACTATGTTCAGCTGATTTGTTTACTTTACTCCCTCTTTGCCATAATGGCTTAAAAGTAGAACTAAGAGAAAATACAGGAGACCAGCTGATCTTGAGGTAGGAAAGATCTTTCTAAAGTGAACAGATATGCAAAAGCAGAAATCAAAAGAGTTAACAACATAAAAGTAACTCCTGTACACTAAAACACCCCAAAATCAAAACACAAAAGCAAACAGGGAAAAAATTGCAGTATGTGATGGTTTACTCCATGTATGATAGATAATTATCATTCATACACCAAGAACTCTTACAAATAAGAAATATCCCAAAAGGAAAAATGAGCAAACGACATACAAAGACAATTCACAAAAGAACAAATATGAAATGGTTATTATGAAAAGATGTCCATGCTCACTATCCATCAAATAAATGTAATTATAGATTAGATTAAGGAGGCAGCTTGCCTTTTGTCTAGTAAATTGTTACGTATTTGTTTTAATAATCCATGTTTGTTTAACAATGTGTGTTAACTTAGAAGGGCATGGGAAAACTTACACAAGTGTTAGTAGGAATATAAACTGGTATATTTTTTTCTAGAAGGCAATTTGGCAGTTCCTAGCATAAGCTTTAAAAATGAACATAGCTTTTAGATTAGTATTCTATTTCTAGGACTGTAACCTAAAGAATTATGAATTCGTGAAAAAATTTACCAGTAAAAAAATTTATCAAGAAGTTATCTGATAAAAATTTTAAAACACAAAATGTGCTAAAATTAGGAATTGCCTAAAAAAAACAATAGCAAACCAAAAACGGTTTAACTAGCTATTAAACATGGCTGGAAAAAAAGTACACTCATGATGGCAGGTTTCACTTAAGTTCATGACCTTAGTGGGACCTTAATAAAACCCATGGGCCATACTAGTTTCCTGGTCCATTTACCCCTACATTCTTCCAGACAATCCACAACATATCTCCTCCTCTCTCCTTAAACATCCTAATGCCTCTTCTATTCTTTTTGCTGACGACTCTGCTTCCTACTTCACCAAGAAGACAGAAGCCATCAGAAAATTATTTCCCTCACCTCCCACATCTACCAACTCCCCTGCACCTCTTCCCACACTGCATTCTCTCCTGTTACTACAGATGAACTGTCCTCACTCACACCTGAGTAACCCTCTAGTTGAGCATTGGATCCTATATTCTTTTGCCTCAATGTCCCTCCTACAGAAATTGTCTCCCCTGCCTCCTACATCAACTTTTCCTTCACTACTGGCTCATTCTCCCGAGCTATGTAAACTGCTCATATACTACACATATGTATTTGTATGCTATCATAAATCTATTATGCTGATAACCTGTCACCTTAAAACAAAAACCAATGCCCCTTGTTGATTAACATGTCCTTCCAGCTCATCTTTAGAATAAAAAGCCTCATAACAGTGGCTTGTATTTGCTTTCTCCACTCCTTGTCCTTCTATTCTCTCTTAAGATCCTCCAGTTAATTTTCGTCCCCAACAGACCACTGTAATTAAGGTGAGCAGTAGACCAGTTACCTACCGGGTTGCCAAATCCATTCCATTCCTAGTATTCATCTTATTTAACCTATCAGCATGACTTAACACCTTTGCTCACTTACTCCCTTCCTCCCAGAAACACCTTTATCACTTAGCTTCCAGAAAAAAAAATCACTCTCCTGATAAATAGTTGCTGTACGACAACCTAAATTAGTGGCTGTTACTTCCAAGTCTCCTTTGCTAGTTGTTTTTCATCTGCCAGACTTCTAAATGTTCAGCCTGCCCCAGAACTCAGTCTTTAGACCTCTTGTCCTTGCTCATTACTCCCATGGTAAATATTCCCCAGTTTCATGGCTCTAAAACCACTGATACTCCGATGACTTCCAAACATATACCTCTAACCTGGACCTTTCTCATGAACTCCTAAGTAGATGTCCCACTAACTACTTGACACTCACCATTTGGATGTCTAAAACCTAAACTCTTGATTTTCTTCCTAAATCATTTCATAAATGGCGATACCACTGTCCCAAGTATTCATGTTTTTAAAAAATGAAGTCATGCTGGATTACTTTTTTCCTCTCCCACCACTCACTTCAAAAACATTTGCAAATTCTGTCAGCTATACCTTCAAAATATTATTGAAATTCCATGACTTCAAGGATCAGTGGAAGCATAGTTTCCAGTCATTCTGAATCCCCACAGAAAAACAGAGTAATTAGTTAGCAACATCAAAAACCCATAGGTAGCATTTACAACAAAACTAGGTAGGCGGGATATACAATAACAGCTGAAGTGGAAGCTTCTTCAAACTGTAATTTACTCAAGTACAACTATGGTAAAATATTCCAACTGAAAGAGAAGATAAAAATTAGAGCAGGATTCCAAAAAATGAGTCTCAAAGAGGAAAAGTCACTGGTCTAAAGACATGTGGGTAATAAGCATTTTAAAATGCATAATAACAGACACTGAGATGGATACTTTCTCAGATCACTAAATGTTATCAACTTGATTCTTCAGAAGATCTTCCCCCTCATGGGATTATATCTTAATTTGATAAAGCTTAATAAGAGGAAAATTAGAATTAAAGTGACATTTCACTTTTAAATGTTTTGACTCAAAACTCCCTCCTTTTGTCCCCTACCCCAGAAAGTCTGGTTATCAGTTGGTACAAACAAACAAAGGAATCACTGAACAACAAATACCTCAAACAGCCAAATTCTAATCAGTTAGGACACTCCGGTATATTATTAGGGAAAGTCACTATATTTAGAGAAGTCTGGAAGATGGCAGCAACAAATTCCCACATAAAAATAGAGGAACTGTATAGAAAAAATAAAATCCTATAAGAACATTTGCAACAAAAGTGGGTGAAACCCCAAAATACAAGCAGATAGGGACAACCACCAATGGCCACAAGACCTCTGTGTTATAGATGCCTGTGTAGGAGAAAGAAAAAGAAAACAGTGGGGTAGCATTTGACAGACCCTAAAATAGCCAACAGTTGTTCACTGGAAAGTCTGGTGGGCCAATTTAAGAACCATGGCTGAGACTGGAAGGGGCTTTGCTCTAATGAGTGAGTGTAAAGTGGCTATAGTAAAGACTGAAAGGGGCCCGTGCTGGGAAGAATATGTTAGCAGAATAACATGCTTTATTTCATAGATAAAAATATTAAATTTCTGTAAAAAAAGAAAACACTACTAGGACTTGATGGGAATATAATAAATATTTGTTCGAAGAACAAACCGCTTTTATCTGATTGCAGGTCCACCTAAGGTTTTTCTATATAACATAGTCCAAGCTTTCAAATATTTTTTTGGTTACTATGACCTACAGAGAAATGTATTTATATGACACAGTATACATATACACACACACACATACACACACACACACACACACACACACACACACACATATGTATATGCACACGTTGGAAACAATTTTCCTGAAATGCAGTACTGTGAAGTACTTTTGATTCTCTATTCTAGTCTTTTTTTGGAAGGAGGGTAAAGACATAAGACAAAACTGGTCCCAATCCTCACTTTAACAAATACTGCCAAACAACATACTAATTAAAGTGCAGAAGTTTCAAATCCTGACTCTGCCATGTCTGAACCGTGTTACCTTGGGCAAGTTATTTACCTCTCTGTGCTTCAGTCTCCTAATTCATAAAACAACTATATTTATGCTACAAAGTTTTTTTTAGAAGATTAGTTTGTCCACAGGAAGTGGTTATAATACTGCTTGGGATACAGTAATAACTGTATGCTACCATTGTTCTTGTGGTTGTTATTCAAGTCAAAGTCTAAGAATTTGGGTCCAACATATAAAAGAGAGTTTGTAAGTGAGCTACAATCAGATATAATAAAGTACACTGAAAACAGACTAGGAAGGGATATGTTGAACTGAACGTTTATAAAAAATACTTTTAATCATTAACCAAAAATAGGCCTATTTTGGCCATAGCTTCAAGCATTGCTTACCTATGATATCATTTCTCATTGCTTCTGTAATTGGGATTGGCTTAGCAGCATCTGGAGATATATATTTGGTAAAAGTATTCACTGCATCTTTTTCTATACCTGTAAGGAAAGAAGGGGACAACTTCAAAAAATTAAACGGCAACTTGGACCAGCAGTGGAGTATGTTCATGAATAGTAGGGCTTTGTTTGTTTGTGTACCCAAGCACACATGCATATGCACATAAATACATATATATATATAGAACAAAGCGAGCCTCCATCATGCTGTTGGCTTTTTCATTGGTTTGTGGAAGAGGAGTTTTATGAAAGTCCCTCCTCTACATCTAAGCTAACAAATCCTTAATAGCAATTATTTATGCATATCTTCTTTCCATGTCTTTTCTGCAAAGTCCCAACTTGAAGGACTTGCACAATGTAACAGAAGAAACTAAAAATTTACTTATATATCTACATTTAAAATATTTTACAAAATAATTTCATTCATGAATACATTTAGTTGAACCTCAACAACCCTCACAGGTTAAAACAATGAATCTCAAACTTTTTAGTTTCAGGACTTCTTTGCAATCTTAAAGATTACTGAAGACCCTAAAGAGCTTTTATTTATGAGTTTTATCTATAGATACTAGGTATTAAAATTTTTAATTGAGAAAAAAACGATTCCCTTAAAATAAACAATTTTAAATGTTAGTTTTATAAACTTTTTAAAGGAAAATAACTTTCCAGACTGAAAAAAATTAGTGAGAAGAGGGCATTATTTTACATTTTTGCAACTCTCTTTGTCTCAGTAACACACTTGGATTTTCATACCTGCTTTTTGCCAAAATAACAAAAAACAAAATTTATGCTATTTTGTTTTGGTACTGTGATAATATGATATAAGAAATCTATGTATGGTCTTCATCCTGGTTCCTGGGACAGAGATTCTAAAACCCTTGGAATTTCCTCAGGGGCAGGCGTGAGATGAGCCCCTTTTAACCACAGGAATGTTTATGGTAGGAGGTGATTCTTGCAGAATGGGGGCTGGTTGCCAGAGGAACAGCCATGAGATTAGAGCACTGGAGCTTTCAGATCCACTCCCCAGCCTCTAGGGAGGGTAAGGGGGTTGGGCTCACCAAGCTCATCACCAACATCCAATGACCTAATATATCATACCCACAAAATGGAACCTTAAGCACTAAGTAGTTCAGAGAGCTCCTCAGGTTGGTAAATGTATCCATGTGCCAGAAGGGTGGCATACCCCAACTCCACAGAGACAGAAGCCCTGTTTTGGGGACCCTTCTAGAGCTTGCCCTGTGTACCTCTTCACCTGGCTGTTCACTTGTATCCTTTATAATATCTTTTAAAATAAACCAATAAATGTAAGTAAAGTGTTTCCCTGAGTTCTGTGAGCCATTTTAGCAAATTACTGAACATGAGGAAGGGGTTGTGGGAACCCCTGATTTATAGCTGATTGGCCAGAAGTACAGGTGACAATGTGGGACTTGAGCCTGGCATCTGAAGTGAGGGACAATCTTGTGGGACTGAGCCCTTAACCTGTGGGGTCTGTGCTAACTCTGGGAGTTTAATACATGAATTGAACTGTAGGACACACAGTTACTGTGCACAGAGAAGTGGAGAATTACCTTGTGTGTAAAACCCACACATTTGGTATAAGAAGACTATGTTCAATAGATGAATAGCTAAAGAAGATATGGTACATATACACGATGGAATACTATTCAGCCATAAAAAGAAAAGAAATTCTACCATTTCCAACAACATGGATGGAGGTAGAGGGTATTACGCTGAGTGAAATAAGCCAGGCAGAGAAAGGTAAGTACCAAATGATTTCACTCATTTGTGTGATATAAAAACAAAGCAAAACTGAGGGAACAAAATAGCAGTGGACTCACAGACATTGAGAAGGGACTAGCGGTTACCAGAGGGGAGGGGTTGGGAGGAAGAAGGGGATTAAGGGGCACTCTAATTAGCAATCACAATATAGGTAGCTCACAGGGATGGCAGTAGAGCACAGAAAAGACAAGTAATGACTCTAGAATTTTACTACGCTGATGGACAGTGACTGCAATGGGGTGGGGAGGTACTTGATAATATGAGTGAATGTTGAAACCATAACGTTGCTCATGTGAAATCTTCATAAGATTGTATATCAATGATACTTTAATAAAAAAAAAAGAAGTGCTGTGAACACAGAAACAGTTTCCGTTTATATTTATTAAGAAAATCTGGCATCAGGCATGTGTAGCTGGGCAAAGGAGTATTTTAATAGCTTTTTGAGATAAATGTGTATATATTCTTCTGATACTACACCAAAAATTGACAGGTGGTAGTTTCTCAAAGGCTAGTTAGAATGTAGAATCTGAAACCCTATCAATGAACTTGTATTCTGTTAGATTAAAATCCACTGGTTTACTTCTCATGTTTAATGGATCTTTTTTTTTGGAAATGCAGTATTTTTATTTATAAAAGTAATGTGAAAATTGGTAACCCTTCTGATGCCTAGAAGACATGTTTATATTTTTCTGAAAAAACAAAGTACAGATTATACTTGAGAACAACTGTCATAGAAAATAGTACTGGTCATTTTGGAATGTTTAGTTTTTTATTGAAGTATCACTGATGTACAATCTTATGATGGTTTCAAATACACAACACAGTGGTTCAACATTCACCCGTATTATCAAGTCCTCACACACACACCCCATTGTGGTCACTGTCTATCAAGGTAGTAAGATGTTATAAAATCATTAATTGTATTCTCCATGCTGTACAGCCATCCCTGTGACCTACCTATATTGTGACTGGTAATTATAGTGCCCCTTTATCCCCTTCTTCCTCTCCACCCTCCCTCCCCAACCTCTCCCCTCTGGTAATGGCTAGTCCCTTGTCAATGTCTGTGAGTCCGCTGCTATTTCGTTCCCTCAGTTTTGCTTTGTTTTTATATCACACAAATGAGTGAAATCATTTGGTACTTTATCCTCTTCTCCCTCCCCACCCACCCTCCCCAACCCTTCCCTTTTGGTAACCACTAGTCCCTACTCAGTGGCTATGAATCTACTGCTATTTTGTTCCCTCTGTTTTGCTTTGTTTTTATACTCCACAAATGAGTGAAATCATTTGGTTTTTGTCTTTCTCTACTGGCTTATTTCACTGAGCATAATCCCTCTAGATCCATTCCATGTTGTTGCAAATGACAAGATTTCTTTTCTTTTCATGGCTGAATAATATTCCATTGTACATATATACCACATCTTCTTTATTCATTCATTTGTTGATGGACACTTAGGTTGCTTCAATATATTGGCTATTGTAAATAGTGCAACAATAAACATGGGGCACGTATGTCTTCTCAAATCAGGGATATCATTTTCTTTGGATAAATTCCTACGAATGGAATTACTGGGTCAACTGGTGTTTCTACTTTTAGTTTTTTGAGGAACCTCCATATTGCTTTTCACAACGGTGGAACCAATTTACATTCCCAAAGAATCTTTCACTCATGAATGATTTTATAACACTAACATATTTTTGAATATTTTGGAAAATACTGGTTCACTAATTTTCTAAATATTAATACATTGCATCATATAGTGTAAAAAAGAAATCATATCAATAATATCACCAATTACTTTAACAGAACACTTTTTAAAGCTGTCAAAGTACACAGTGGTATATACAAGTTTTCTCAAACTCTGATTTTCACTTGAAAATCTTAAATTTTCCCACTGGGCAACAATACTGTCAACTGTCTTCCTTGAAATGACAAGCTCATTTAATTCATTTCCAAGAAAAATACTCTGCCAAATACCAAAGTATGAATACCCAGGGTTTGTCTACAGTCATTCTTTCAAATAAAAATGGAATTCCATTAAAACAGCAGCTAACTGACCTCACAAAAACAATCAACTACACAAATTTTCCTTAAAGACAAGTAGTATACTTCAATATCCTGTACACTTTCAATTTCCTCATACAGATTAAGAGACATATATATATACTCAAAAGGTTTAGATTTAGTAAAATTAATTATCACTTCTCCAAAGATATACTTAAGTAAAACTAACAATTTTACTGGGAGTATATGATAGCTCACAATGACTACTCGTCCAACGCCAGCACATATTCCCACAACTGCCTTTGCACCTGTGGGTAAAATTGTCATACTTCCAGAATATCTTGCCTGGCTTTAGTACATCTGCATATCAACAGGCATTCAGAGGTGGAAAGAAGTATGGCTTTAGTTCATTTGCATATCCTCAGGAGTGGAGAATTCATCTCCATATCAATGGGTAATTACCTGGGCAACAGAGGGCTTATCTGTACCTGAGAGGTGAGGGGTGGTACCAGTTTTCCTTCTGCTGGAGCAGGAAAGAGAGAAGGCCCTGGACTGCAGTTTACAAGCAATAAATGGATTTAAACTTTATTTCTCCCTTTTACTGATTTTGGCTTTTAGAGGTATTATGCTCCGGGATTTCCTTTCCCCGGACTTATAGCACCATCATTACAAATACCAACACAGTGAAAAAAGACAAGTATCATCTTAGAATTACTGTGGAAATAGTCTGACCACATAGACCCCCTTGAAAAGTCTCAGGTACTCTCCTCCAAGAGTGTGTGAACCACACTTTGAGAATCCCTAGGTTAGCAGAATAGATAATCCCTATTTTTTTTGGTATTATTAATGTACAATTACTTGAACAACATTATGGTTACTAGGCTCTTCCTATTATCAAGTCCCCCCCACATACCCTATTACAGTCACTGTCCATCAGCATAGTAAGATGCTATAGAATCATTACTTGTCCTCTCTGCATATACTGCCTTTCCCATGTCCCCCCCGCTACATTATATCTGCTAATCGTATGCCCCCCTTTGCCTCCTTATCCCTCCTTTCCCACCCATCCTCGCCAGTCCCTTTTCCTTTGGTAACTGTTAGTCCATTCTTGGGTTCTGTGATTCTGCTGCTGTTTTGTTCCTTCAGTTTTTCTTTGTTCTTATACTCCACAGATGAGTGAAATCATTTGATACTTGTCTTTCTCCACCTGGCTTATTTCAATGAGCATAATACCCTCTAGCTCCATCCATGTTGTTGCAAA